CACTAGATTCTATTTTTAATTTCGGATTTATTTGGTTTAATGGTTTCGTTGTTTGTCGGTTGTCATACAGGATCGTCTCAAACTGATTATGAATAAATACGAAAAATAAGTGTTATTTGTGTAAAAACTCTCTCTCTCTCTCTCTCTCTCTCTCTCTCTCTCTCTTCTTTGTGCTCCCACTTCTCCCTCTGGCTCGCTCGCTCGTTTACAACCCTCTCGCGTTCAGTCAATGCCATGGGTTTCTCTGAATCGGTACCCGCCAGAGAGCGACGATGACACGTGAATTACAGGGTTATTACTTGTAATTGCGCCCACAGGCACTTGGCACGTTTCAATAAACGAAATCTATCTACTACCAAAGTCTTAATGTTTCTCTACTCTCTTTCGCCTATTATTGCCGACAATTTCGTGTAAATGCCGCGCAAATGCTCCTCTGCAACACACGTGTACACCGCACGCACACTGCCGCACACTGACTATATATATATATATATAGTATATATATAGTATATACATATAATATATAATGTATAATTATTATTATAATTATATTTAATTGTAGGTATCTGATTTTGGCCTTGCTAAGGAATCATTCGGTGACCAGGAGGGCGCAACGTCAAAGTTCCCTATAAAGTGGACAGCGCCAGAGGCACTGCGGCAAAGCGTGAGTACATGTTCTGAGAGCAGATCACCCATGTTCATTCCCCTCTTATTTGATTCGGTTTTATGATTTATAAAATGTCTTTATGTCTCTTGCGTGTCTGTGAGTTGCTGCCGTGTCTGTGTAAAGCCAAATGTCATTCGAACTGCGCACATCTGTTTGGGTTACTAAGTCAGGATTTACCTGAAATTCTGACCAGCTTACGAAGAAGTATGTTCCTGTGGAATGATCCATTACAAATTACCTGCTACTGATTGTTGAGGGAAAAGGGATTGGCCGAGACAGATAGGTCGATTTGGGATGAGGTTGGATGTGGGTTACGGCGATGGTGACTCACGACTAAGTAGAAGGTAATGCTAGCAGCAGTCTTGCTCGTTTTATGTTAGCACTTTGCAGCTCTGCTGCGAACCTCTTTCCTCGCCCATGACGCTTCATGCTGAAGTTGAAGCCATAGGGCTGCGATGCTGAGATAATAGCTTGGGTTCGACTATGCTTCGTCAGAAAACACTTTCTTTATCGGCGTGTTTCTGTGTGCATTACACGCGCATGACCTTCGCTATTTGTACTCGTGCGTTTTGCTGGCTGATGATATGATAATATGATGCACTGATCAAATTATTTACGGAAAATATTATACAGGTAATAATAACATGGTTCGCGCAGTCCTTGAAAAGTCCTTGAATTTGAGGGGAGTCCTTGAAAAGTACTTGAATTTAGTAAATGTTGATTTTGTGCTTGAAAAGTCCTTGAATTTTTAGAAAGAATCCTTGCCTGTAATAAAAAGAAATTTTGTACCATCAATAATGTGCAAACCTCAATAAAAATTGCGATAAATGAGCTTAAAAAGCTATAGACACGATAGACAGTTAAATGATGATCGCAAATTACAGTAAGTCAGTAAAATCAGTCAGTAAATCAAGGTATGTTGTAGAAGTGACAGTGTTTAGAAGGGTTTATCAATGTGATCCATGTAAGTTTTAGAGGTGACAGTGATTAAGAATGGGGTTATTAAATTAATCCAGGTATGTTTTGTTCTGTGTATGAATTCTGATCAAATGTCCTTGAAAAGTCCTTGAAAAAAATTTCAGTCCTGTATGAACCATGAAAATAGTGATGCTATCATAGCATTTTTTCGGAGTGTTATAGAGCTCCGAAGTGATGACGTCACGGAGGCATGACAACGAACCCACTGGTTCTAAACAATCATATGCTCTGGTAACATTAACTGCGTGAAAATGGTGTCGTGTTTTGTACCCGATTGTAACCATCATTCTGAAAGTCATTATTGCAGTTTTTATAGATTTCCAAAGGATGCAAGTGAAAAGCAATGAAAAAAAAATAT